CTTGTAAACTAATAAAACTAGAAACAATTGCCAACTCATTACTTTCTGTCTATTTCAAGCACGAAGACAATCACCAACTTAAAGTTATATTCTTTTTTTAAGTTAATGTTTTACTTGCAATGTATTATTTACTTTACCGTTAACAGTTACTTCTATAAACAAAAAATGTTTTCAGAGATTAAAATTGATAAAATCTTGCCTCAAATTGATTGTGTTGTTATAAGAAAGATTTAAGTAAATTAATCATACCATTAACTAAAAATAATATGTTATTATTAATTTAATATAATATTTAATTAATAATGTTGTCTTTGAAAAGTGAAAAAAAATCACTTAAAAAAATTATAAAAGACTTCACTTAGATATGTCGCTTTAAGCCTCCAATCATCTCGAGCCGGCTCTTGCCGATCAACCCCAAGTTGTCATATCTTTTCAACTAATCTGACCAAATTGTCCATTTTCGACCAAGGGAATAAACTGTTTTCATTCATACTTGTAATTTATTGAATGTTCAGTGGGGTGAGAGAATAAGTTTTAATTTCGAAGGGTGCCTTTGTAATTTACCTGAGCCTACCTCCTTTTTCTATCCTGCAAAATTAATAGCGTGATATTATGACGCATTAATAAGCCCATCTTCAGTCTGCAGTGATATTTTGTAACCCATTGTTATTTGTTATCCTTCCCAATCATAATATTATTTTTTTGCTTATTATAAACGGGTGAGAGCAAATGAAAGTGTACAGAGACCATTCCGATAGGCATTTATTGTAAGATTATGAGGTCTTTAACCACGCTCGTTATTCGTTTGGTGAACGAACCTAATTAGACTAACATAGCGGTCAATCACCGAATCCAAATATAAATTACAAAATTCAATACTCTAACCTGAGAAATTCGATCGATACTCCACTAAGTCACCCACAGTGTTATCTCCGGAGTATTAACTGAATGCCCCCATGCATTGAAATTGTATTTGTCGATGAGGCATGAGCCGGACAAGTCCAAAGGGGCTACCCAACTCCAGAAAGTGGATCAATTCCATGTGTGTTGTGTCATCTAGAAAGGACCCACAAAATTTAATTTGTCACTATTCAATGTTCAAACAATATTTAAGAGAGAGAGAGAGAGAGAGAGATGCAAGATACATGCACCGGCCCAAAGCATAAGTAAACGAGAATACTTTGCAAAAATAATTTTTAACAAGATTTTTGATAGGATATGATGTAACAATGATGTTTTCATAATAATAAAAATTTAATATTGTACTAAAAATTATTATTTTTTTACATAAAATTACATTTTTAAAAGATAAAATTTTAACTATTTGAGATAACTCTATGATCGGTCATGAATGCCCCCTAATTAATTATAGCTTCACCTCAAAAAATAATAATTTACATTAGAAATGGTGATTTCTACCTCAAAAAAANATTGTGTCATCTAGAAAGGACCCACAAAATTTAATGTCACTATTCAATGTTCAAACAATATTTAAGAGAGAGAGAAAGAGAGATGCAAGATACATGCACCCGGCCCAAAGCATAAGTAAACGAGAATACTTTGAAAATAATTTTTACAAGATTTTTGATAGGATATGATGTAACAATGATGTTTTCATAATAATAAAAATTTAATAGTGTACTAAAAATTATTATTTTTTTACATAAAATTACATTTTTAAAAGATAAAATTTTAACTATTTGATATAACTCTATGATCGGTCATGAATGCCCCCTAATTAATTATAACTTCACCTCAAAAAATAATAATTTACATTAGAAATGGTGATTTCTACCTCAAAAAAATATAATTAACTTGACATAAAAAGTGATAAATTTCTGTAAGTCTTTCCTCTTTTATAAATATCTTTAACATTAGTTGTAATTTCTTTTTTTAATAACGTATATATTAGGGAGTTATATTATAATATTTAAAAAGAAATAGGTATGAAATTTCTGTCCATGTAACTTTAGTTATAGGTAAATGGATTGATATTTATGTTTTTTTCAGAAAATGGGGTTTTGTGTAAATAAAGAAACTTTGAAAGGGTTAAAAGTCTCTACTAAGACTTCAACAAATTGCTTCGGAAAAAGCAGAGGGACAATGGGATATGTCAAATTGGTCCAAGTCAAAAGTTATTTTTCCCCTTCCTTTTTTTTTTTCTTGTTTCCCTTTTTTTTTTATATTTTGATCTCTAAGATTTGTCACTTAATCATTTAGATTTCTAACATTTAAAATATTACACAGAGANTCTTGTTTTCCTTTTTTTTTTTTTATATTTTGACCTCTAAAATTTGTCACTTAATCATTTAGATTTCTAGCATTTAAAATATTACACAGAGATCTTTTAAAGTTTGTAAACGAGTAACACTTAAACCTCTGTCGTCAAATGTCCATTAATATATTCATTAATAAATTATACTCAGACTCCCTGAAATTTATAAACATATAATACTTAGACGTCTCAAATTTAAAATATTATACTTAGATAAAAAAATACTTCAATCAAAGATAAACTATCAAATATTTTAAATTTGAAAACTAAAATTCATATTCTATTATGTCATTTATTAAAATAAAATCAAAAATAAAAAAACCAAATTTTTCCTAAAAAATCATAATTAGTATTCTATTATATCAATTCATGTTCTATTATGTGTAAATATCAGGGGTCTGAGTGATTAAGTAATAAATTTCAAAGAGTTTGAGTGTAATTCTCCTTTTATTAAAAAAAAAAAAAAACTTTCTTTGTGTGTTTGTAGGTTGGGGATTTGGGGGGGAGGATTCCTTATTCCTTTTGGACTACTCACGTAACACATTCAGTTCAGTCACTTCGATAATTAAAATTGTAGTTTAGAAAATATGGTGGACAACTTTACTCTTGACATCAAATAAAAAAAAAGTGTATTATCATTTGAAAAGATTAATTTTGAGGCTNCACAAGAATGCAATGCAGCATTGTGACTTTGTATAAATATGCAGATACTCCAAACTCGAAACTTACTGTCCAGGACAGATACAAGATTCAGGTTTGAAGAGCGAATTCTTTCAACTCAAACAGATCTTTGGGAGGATATTTTGGAAAGTGACATAAATTTGAGAGAACAAATTCCTTGAAATTGTGAAAATCACCACATAAAAATTCTATATCGAAGTAAAGGATTTCAGATCACGATGTCCTTAAAACCCATAACATATCAGTTCGACTCAAACAAAAACTATCATACAGTCTCAATAGGCTGAGTTCAAGATTTCTGCAAAAGGATTTTGTATTCCATTCCATTCATGTTAAACTGTTTTACAAGAGTATCATATCATGAAAATGCACTAGTTTATGTGCAAATTATACATGTTAACCAATCTATAAATATTAAACTGACCGGGGGGAAATGTTTGAGAATGGGCGAATACAAAATAGGGTCATTTACAACGAGCGAGAATTCAAGCTGCATAAGCTATCCCGGCTCCCGGTTTTAGTAAAAATTATATACCTCTATGAACTCTAAATTCAAAAAGATTTCTGAAAGCATGCTACTCCCACTTTCAGAGTAGCACTCTGCAGAGAGATCAACAGAAGNGACAAGAATGCAATGCAGCATTGTGACTTTGTATAAATATGCGGATACTCCAAACTCGAAACTTACTGTCCGGGACAGATACAAGATTCGGGTTTGGAGAGCGAATTCTTTCAACTCAAACAGATCTTTGGGAGGATATTTTGGAAAGTGACATAAATTTGAGAGGACAAATTCCTTGAAATTGTGAAAATCACCACATATAAATTCTATATCGAAGTAAAGGATTTCAGATCACGATGTCTTTAAAACCCATAACATATCAGTTCGACTCAAACAAAAACTATCATACAGTCTCAATAGGCTGAGTTCAAGATTTCTGCAAAAGGATTTTGTATTCCATTCCATTCATGTTAAACTGTTTTACAAGAGTATCATATCATGAAAATGCACTAGTTTATGTGCAAATTATACATGTTAACCAATCTATAAATATTAAACTGACCGGGGGGAAATGTTTGAGAATGGGCGAATACAAAATAGGGTCATTTACAACGAGCGAGAATTCAAGCTGCATAAGCTATCCCGGCTCCCGGTTTTAGTAAAAATTATATACCTCTATGAACTCTAAATTCAAAAAGATTTCTGAAAGCATGCTACTCCCACTTTCAGAGTAGCACTCTGCAGAGAGATCAACAGAAGGGTCAAGCCAGGGTACGCCGAAGAGTTATAGTGTTCTTCCACTACCTTTACTTGCAAAATGGAAGAAACCTCAAAGGTTACTGAAACCAAGTATGCAAGAGTAGAGAAGCTACCGACGTCCAACTGCCCAATGCTTGTTATGATTGCCAGGTTTCATCTGTGGATTAGGGCCAAGGCCCTGCTTGGGGAGATCATGCAACTCCATAACCTGAATTGTTCGTTGCCTCTTGGCTGTTAAGAAGAATTATGATTACTATCAATGAAACTCAAAACTAGTCATATTAAGCTAAAAAATTACTGACGGAGATAAATTTCCTGGAATCATAACCCTTTCCAATTTTCAGGCTTTGTTTAAATAAGCATTAAAAGTGGGTTTNTCGTTGCCTCTTGGCTGTTAAGAAGAATTACGATTACTATCAATGAAACTCAAAACTAGTCATATTAAGCTAAAAAATTACTGACGGAGATAAATTTCCTGTAATCATAACCCTTTCCAATTTTCAGGCTTTGTTTAAATAAGCATTAAAAGTGGGTTTTGTTGCAAATTCACCATTGTCCATGTAGTAGTATCAAATAAAAACCAAAAAAACTTAAACGAGTAAAAGGTAAGTAGACAAACCATTCGCAACTTGTTGGTAGCTCTGATGGAGCTTCCTTTTCGCAGCTTCAAGCTTTACATCGCGCTCATCTGAACACCTTGATTTCTAGTTAAGAAAAAAAAATAACCACCATCTAATAAGTAAACAAAAAGCTTCAAGCCATAAGCCACCACACATCAGCATCCAGAATACTCACATCCTGTTGAGAATCCGACATCCTCTTCGGGATTGTGACTTGGTCTGATTTTTTAAGTAATTTGGTCTCGTCATTAAACCTTTCTTNCATAAGCCACCACACATCAGCATCCAGAATACTCACATCCTGTTGAGAATCCGACATCCTCTTCTGGATTGTGACTTGGTCTGATTTTTTAAGTAATTTGGTCTCGTCATTAAACCTTTCTTCCACACTCAGTTTTGTAGGTCTACCTGGCCTGGATGCAGCACTGGCAGACTTATTTGGTTTCATAACAGTTGCTTGATTCTTCATCACAGCTTCTTGTTTCTTTATTTGTGCACTCTTCTTATCCTGCTCACACTTCTTGTCCTTGGGAGGAACCTCATGGGAGAACTGTGGATTATGCTTGGCAATATTTTGGTTCTCTCGTGATGGCTTTCTACCATATTCGTGGTTCTTGTTGAATTCCCCACTGTTTCGAGGATCTGAAACAACATCCCCCAATCAGTCATGAACTAAAAATGGGGAATTCGACTAAAGAACCAAATAGCAAAAGCTATATGAGAAAAGCACAAGGAACACATATTGACTCACTTCCATCATCATCCATGCCATCAAAGAACTTCGCACATCACAATTGAGGACACAAATAAGCGAAACTTAGTCAGTGTACAAGCACAAAAAAAGGAACGTGAATTGCTTTTATTAATATAAAGGAAGAGTGAGACATACCTGAGAGAGCTCTATTGAAGTAGTCTGAGTAGCAAAAAAGACTGCTTCATCCAGCGGAGGAAAAGGTAGCCCCTCCTCTTCATCAACAGTTGACGGGTTCAGAGACTCTGGTGTTCCTTCTGCACGTATTAGTTGATGAGTACCACATCATCTTTGATCTAAGTTGGAATTGAGAAAACAAACATCGAATAGAAAAACCAAATCCAGTACAAAAAAGAATCCTGACTCAATACCTGCAACTGCTGCTGTAGCATCCAACCACTCATCTACCATAACTTTCCACCCCCTGCAATCAACAACAATACCATTTGGTAAGAGTAAGCTTTTCTGCTTTAAAATCAGTGCAATAAAAAATAAGAATAAAATAAACAACGGCTTTCTGAATAAGGAGATGAACGCTGTCCATTATCAAACACTCCCACTAAAAAGCAGAAAAACCAAAAGGATTGTAGTCCAAAAATGGCTACGAAAATTGCTTTCTCTTATTTCTACGCATTCCATCTGATTAATCTGAAATTCATTAGAGGTCATGACCCACTCTCATAGCAAACTTGAGAAATGCCAAATTATGTCACTAAAATCATCGGACAAATTCAGAAAAAGAGATTCATCGTCAGAAACTAAAATGGGAATGATGCGGACAGGCCAAAATTCTTTGTCACTAACGTCATAAAAATTTATGATTGGTGTTTAGTAAATGTTTATATGCAGTCATCTCACATTTTCTACTTGTATCAAATGACCAGAAGAAGAACAAAGGAACCTAATTAGCCAAGAAGCAAAATTGCATACTCAATCAGTGTTCGTGCAAGATGCCTAATCTGCTTTGATCCATGCTTTTGGAGAACATTAACAGCTTTGCCAATCTCCGTAGCCTGAAGTATGAAGAATAGAATTAACAAAAGACTTGGAACAGATCAAAGAAGTAGCATTTACAACCAAAACAGAGCACGCAAATTCTAGTGACTCGAAAATTATTCTATTCAAACCTTTAGAGTTTCAACAGACAGAGCCATCAGTTGAAGCCTCCTCAGTGAATCAAATAAGATTTGATCAGACTGTCAGGCAAAAAAATAAAAACACATCAGTCAATACCAGGAAACTCAAAAAATAAATGGATTTCTATTAACAAACAGGTCAAAGAACAACCAAGTTCTTCCACTAAAAACCAATTATAACTCAACATCTTCAAAAACTATCCTAAGTGATCAATATTACTGGAGAATGAATTAATTGAATAACTAATAAAGGTCCCAAGGATTCCAAACTATTTTGCTGACAGCCCAATGTGCTAGTTGCAATCAGAGATGATATGTAGAAACAATAGACCATACTTCATTTTATTAGCAAAAAACCTTCAAAATCTTCAAAACCCATTTCAAAAATCCAGTAAACTACGCAATCAGCTAACTTGATCCACAAAAAGAAGAATCAGAACTGCAAAATTCATCTTAATAAACCCAAATCACTATACTAGGTGAAACTGAAAGAAAAATTAGCAGTAGAGATGGAGCAAACCTCATCTTGATTGTTATCAAATATCTCTTTGATCCTCAAGACCTCCCCAACAATCTGACTTTCTTCTTCAATCTGGTCAGTCAATGCCTCTGCTTCTCCAAAGCTGTAATTGCTAACTTGGTTCATATTCATTTCTCCATGATCCTGATCATGATCATCTATAGTACTATCCACCTTGCTCTCCTTATTACGACCAGCCTCAAATTCACACCCATCTCTATTCAACCCACTCTTACATCCCTCATCCTTATCATCACAAGGCTCTGCCAACTCCACCCGATCGCACCCTGAACACTTGGTCAATTTACAAGCAAACAACTTCTCAGCAATTCGATCTCTTCTCAATCTGAACTCCTGGGGACAATCTGAGACTGCCACCATAATAGCATGTTCAATTATATCAAATATATCCGAATTCGCAGTCCGGAAATAGTCCCTCCACTTATCAAGAGTTACAAAACTCATTTCCACAACTTTAGATTGAATCCTCCGGTAAATCGGATTATAACAGGAACCGAGATCTGAAATTTAACCCTACTCAATACGCAGAAGTCAGAACTCAATGTTAATGGGATTTGAATGATACNAAACCGAGATCTGAAATTAAACCCTACTCAATACGCAGAAGTCAGAACTCAATGCTAATGGGATTTGAATGATACGCAGAAATCAAAATATGGTTCCGACACAATTCTGATANGAACCGAGATCTGAAATTTAACCCTACTCAATACGCAGAAGTCAGAACTCAATGTTAATGGGATTTGAATGATACGCAGAAATCAAAATATGGTTCCGACACAATTCTGATAGGAAACAACCAAGAAAAAGGCCAAAAGCATTGGATTTCAATCAGTTTTGACCCATAAAAATTGATGGGTAGTTTTGATATCGGATGAACAAATAAACTACGTCACAAAGAAAAGATAAAGATCAATAAGATCGTAGCAGGTGACCAGAAATCAAACGTGAAAAGTTTGAATTTTCTTTAGAACCATAATTTTCCGGGAAAATCAATAAACATTTCTAGTCGATCAATGTGCTATAGCGGGGAAAATATTTAGGAAACAAAAAAATACAGTAGCTGAGGTTTTATCCTGATTGAGGTAGGAATCCAATCCAAAGTATTTCCGGAAGATCAAAGAGAAGTCCAGAGAAAGATATGTGCCAACAGTGAATATGTTAGGCTGATAGATATTCTCCCCCTTTTTTTGTTTCTCTCTCTAGAATACAAGGTGCTGCAAAAAAGGACGAATTTTTTATTTGTTTTTGGGTTAGCTTGAAAAACAAGGGCCGGCGATCCGCACAAAGAGACCGCGTTCGCAGAACGTTCAACTTCAAAGCGGTTTACAATACCCGGGTGTGAATAGGGAGAGTATTTTGGAGATTTTGTTGACTCCTTGGCAGTTGGTACTCATCAACTTTATCAAGTTTTTTTGCATTATTTCAGCCAACTTTTATGGGTGTATTTCACTGCTTAATTATATAAAATAAAAAAACCTTTTTAGAAATTTAAAATTGAAACAAAAACTTCAAGATTTTAGAATTCACCTCATCTAGGTTACACATTGAGAGAGAGGCAAAAAATTTTGGGTTTAATTGTTACACTATGTCAGCGATTCACTAATAAATAAATAAATAAATTAGCAAATGGGGCCCAACAAAATTCATGATCATTCAATCCTATCACAAATAATCACCCATATGATAAGAAATGGACCTTACTTTACTCTTTTTATTTTTTTTTATTAAATGGTTACACCATGTCAGCATTTATTCGAGAGAGAGTGGGGGGGGGGGCGTTTGAAGGAGGAATTAAAGTAGAACTATACACAAATATAGTTATTTTTTTAAGACTTGTTTTTATCACTTTTTAGGAATTACTGTATAAAAATAAAACCAATTTATTACAAAATAGTGATACATTGTAAGACTCTCATGTAAGGTGAGGAGGTGCTAGTTTAATTTGAACTCGGCACCTCTAAATTTTGATATCGTTTAAAATTTTAAATTTNCTTTTTAGGAATTACTGTATAAAAATAAAACCAATTTATTACAAAATAGTGATACATTGTAAGACTCTCATGTAAGGTGAGGAAATGGTAGTTTAATTTGAACTCGGCACCTCTAAATTTTGATATCGTTTAAAATTTTAAATTTGTAAAATAATATTTTTGTTATAAATTTAGACAACTCATAACATGACACTTGTTTGTACGTTCTATCTACCGTTATTTTATATTGTACCATTGGACTGATAGTATATCATGTTATGTTGTAGTGTAACATGGTCTTTAAATTAAAGATTGATTCAAGATTTAGGTTTTTCACTTGTTTTTTTAAATAAAAAAAAAAAAGCAATACTGCATTTAGAGAATTATGGACAAAAAATTTCAATATCAAACTAAGCGATTTCTTTTGAAATCTCTTGCAACTTGAAAGACGTGGTGTATTATGACTTGCAATTCTCATGTATGTTTCTATGTATATTTGTGTATTTTCCAAAAAAAATTGTTTATTTTAATTTTTTATTTTGGTGATCGTTGAATACATGCAAAATATATTTTTCTAATATTGTAGAGTGATTTTCTTTTGGTGAATCTAAGTTGATAATCTCAATTAATTATGCAGCAATAAATAAGCTTTAATAACCACCAAACCTAATCATAATTAAGAGATATTATTCCATTGTTTTTTTTTGGACTCAATTGTGTTAATGGAGTAGTGAGTAAAATGTCATTTAATACATATTTTTTAATTTTTTTTAATAGATTGTCTATCATGCATTCTAATGGAATTCATTATATATAAGTGGATCTCTCACTTATTAATAATTAACAATGCATGATATGCGCTGCACGTAAAAATTATAATGAAATTTTATTATAAAACTGTCATTCTTAAGTATGTGTACATCTAAATAAACTATTATCTTTTATTGTCAAAGAGATTAATAAAATTGCAAAATATTGTTTGTATCATAATATTATGATATTGTTGCACATAAAAAAAAATTAATGCGACATATATTTGATAATAAAATTCAATTTACCAACAACATGTATATAATAATAGAATATAGATTAGATTAGATTTTATTTTATTTTATATAAATAGATATAGATAGAAATTGTTTATAATTATACTACTAAGAAATGAGTTTAAAAGAATTTAAAAATCGATATTATAAGTAAAAAAGTCTAATAGCTGGAGAAAACACTAAAAATTGAATGAAAATAAATATGTGAGTATAATTAACTTTTTAATAACAATTAAGAATAAAATAAAATTTTAAAATTATTTCACAAGTACTAACAATTATAAATAGTATAAATAGATATAGATAAATATAGATATCTATATTTATACTATACTACTTATAAATGTTAGTATCTATGAAAAAAATTTGATTTCTTATTTTATCCCTAATTATTATAATAAAGTCAATTATACCCCACCTATATATTATTCTATCTAATTTATGTTTTTTTACACCTATTTGACTTTTAACTTATTTTGGACTCTTTTATAAGGACTTTTAAATTTTTTTGAATTCATTTATTAGTAGTACAACGGCTTATAATTGTCTATATCTATATAAAAAAGTAAAATTCTATATATGTTCAATTATTATACACATATAGTTATCAAATTAAATTCTACGGTCCAATATATATTATATTTTATTTTTTGATACGTAATAATTTATATAATAAAATAATTAAATTGATTGTCTTGAGTTTTTCATGGCTCACATTATTTGAAGTGATTATTGATCCGACAGTTCTAATGTGAAATTCCTTCTCCCCCAATTTTTTTAACAAGACTTTTATTACTTTTATAATTCTAAGACTCATATCTCTCTTATAACTCTCTCTTTATCTCTTACAATACATTAATTAAGTCATTAATTATGATTCTATATAATTAAGGATTATATTTTAAAATTTCAAATAAATAAATGAACCTTAAATACAAATTTTTTTGCGTCAAAATACGTTGAATGACTAATAAAAATACTATAATATTCAAATAGTATAATAGACGAATAATATATATGTAATTTGTGAATATTTATATACTAAGGGAGCTAACATTGTTTGTCTTAAACTTTCCCTGACACAAATTGATTGATCAAACGATCGAAATACCGCCTCCAAATTTTTTTTCTACCCAAAAATTACAAGAATCCTTTTATTTTACTCAATTATTGGTTCAAAGTGATTATGATTAGGATTCGAATTGAGTTGAATTTAATTGTCGAGTATAAAGTATATATTATTCCTTATACTTAACTTTGTTTAAATTTTATGAGTATTCAAGTTGTAGTTAAATTGAAATTGATTGTAAAAATAAATAAAGAATAATTAAATTAAAACAAAATTATGGCATGACTGGGAATGAAAATAGATAAGAATTAGTTTGAAAGTTTAAGATACAAGTGTTAATTGAGTTGAACTTAAATTCAATTTTCGGTTTGATGTAGTTACGATGAAGATTCGAATTGAGTTGAATTTGATTATCAAGTATAAATTCTTATTTAAACTTAAATTCGATTGAATTTTATGAATATTTAAGTTAAACTCAAATAAAAGTTGATCTTAATTTCTCAACAAAATTTTTTACATTTACAAAAATTTGCGTAAAACTTTTGGTTGTTTTCCTCACAAAAGTTACACGAACTCATATTAAAAAAATGTTTCAGAGATAATATTATGAACTTTAGGTAGAAATTTGCAGAAAAATAAATAATTATAATTTTTTGAAATTTGAGATAAAATTTATTAAAAATATTAAATTGTGGATGTTTGATTAATAATAATTATATTTTCTCATATTTTTGAATTAATATATTGTAGTAACTATAGCGTGACTATCATCATATAAAGATTTGATTATATATGTTTTGCATAAAAGCTGAACAATATCAAGTTGATCGTTATATTATTGAAATTGAATTATACATTGTTTTTATTTATAAATAAATATTTATAATTTTTTACGAGTATTGTAGTGCCTTTAGACACGAGCAATTGTTATTATAATAATATTATAAATAATCTAATTAATTTATTTAACAAAATAAAAATTAATAATTATATAATATATGTGCAAATACTTAAAAGTATTAAAGAGATCTAAATAAATGACAAATTATGTATTTAAAAATTTATAGAATAAATCAATAATTAAATTTAGCAATAATTAAAGGGTGAATTAATTATTTGACACTTAATTATTATTTAATTTAATTATACATATAATTTATATTTTTTTTATAAAATAATACTATTTAAATTTATTTATGTGAAAGACGTGCATCGTTAATAGATATAAATATATGATACGTCGAAAAAACATTAAAGAGAAAAGTGGAAAGCGTTACGATTAGAAGCGGGCCATTAATAGCCGAATGAGCGACGACTCGATTGTCTGCAAACTCTGATAAAGTGACTAGGCGGTGA